AGGGAGATCGGGGTGGGATCGCTGCCAAGACCAGCGGACGTCGATTAAGGGGCACAAGCGGGGCAAGGCTGCACAGGGTGAAGGGCTTGCGGTGTGGGGTCTATAGAGGTTGTGGCTGAGGCACTGGTGCAGGCTGGTGTGAAGTGATCGACATCAGGGTAGGAGTACCCTACAGATATTTTGGGGCTTGAAGACGGGAGCCATGTTAGAAGCCGGCAGAACCAACACTGAGTGGGCACGAGGAAGCGGAGCCCATAGGTGGCGTGAGGCTGGGGTGTAGGGGTGGTGGAGCCCCGTGTGCAACCGGTGGGCCAGGCCCGGGCCACCGAAGGACTCGTGAACTAGCCCCTCCCCACTGGGGGAACAACAAGTCGTGGCAGACAAAAGCTGGGTTGGCAATGCAGGAGGACGAACAACCATGGTAACAAACAGGTCCAGATGGGGAATAGCCAACAGCCAGGAGGGCAGAGCTCCCAGGAGTGACTCGAGAAGGCCCGTCCAGGACAAGTACCAAACCAGGGAGGTTTTGCTTTCCAAGGAAGAACTGGGAACTGGTTGCTATAAGAAGGAAATTACTGAACTGGAGAGTTCATTGATCTGTTCTGGAAAAATAATTATCTCATAGCTCAATGTTAGTCCACATCTAAAGTTGTAAGCATGGTACCATTGTAGTCAAGTTTGCTGTCCATCAGCTAAAACATTCAGATGCAGTTGTCTACAGAGAGTCTGGCTGATAGGTCAGAAGAGAAATTGTTAGAGAGACTGTAGGTTATACCGTCTTGAACATAAAAAAGTGGGGAGGGAGGTTGTGGGGGGAGGGAAGAATCATTCAGGAAGTTAAAATTTAAGGTAAAATGAAAGAAAATGAGAGAGAAGGAAATCAAGAAGAAAAGTTACTTTAGGTCATTATTAAATGAGAGATGATCCTCTAAATATTTTTAGTTTCAAAACAAGTTGCTTTTGGATATAGGATTTGAAACCATATTCCAAGCCATCTATGAATAAGACATACACTGACTTTGGATTGAATACTGTGGTATCTTTGTAGGCCAAATGGAAATGCAGCTACTGCAGCCTAACCAAATGGAATTATGTCATTTCCACCAAAAAAATAGGTCCAGAATCATCATCATCATACCAGAGTCCCTTTATGCCAGTCACAGCACAAATAAGCTGTACAACCTCCTGACTAAATAAGAGAGAATCCCCCTAGCTTACTTACAGCTGTCACTGTCCCACTCCTGGCAGTGACATTGCTAGGAGTGTGTGGCAGGAGCACTATTGCATTGATTTCAACTACTGCAGTGACATACTGGGGGCATAGGTGGACAGGCATAAATGAGTGGAGGCCTGCACTGAGTTTGACATTTGCTTTTTTGTTGATCTTACCTTATTTTGCTTTCTTGCTAATTGACATGCCTTCAGGAAATGACCATTGTGACACTTCCTGTATGCTTTTAAGGCTTCTCCTCTTTCCTTTTTTTTTGTTTCATTAAATCATTCCCACTAATCTATAATCACCTATATTTTTACTTCTTGGAGTATTATTAGTGTTTGTTGGGGAGCTTAATTCGCAGTGAGTTTTAGGAAGTAAAATGAACAGTAGTTTATCAGAAGCTGCGACTTTATATTCATCTGCCTCTAAAAACCAGCTTGACTAAACCAGCAAATTTCTTCTCAAGGGACTCAGCATCCCAACAGCAAAATTATATTTTTATTGTAAATTTGAGGAAGCATTATCAGTAGAAACTAGCAGGGGCCTGCAGTTAGGTTGACGGTTACTCAAAGCAGGGCCACGAAGTTGCTGTGTGGACTTTGGCACTTTGCCTCATTTTTCCCATCTGGAAACTATGGTTAATATTAGCATGCACTCATTAAGTTAAATTATTTGTAGTGGGTCCAGTGTTTTGAAGATGAATGGCATTATATAAAGTACCAAGAATTGTTCTGCCATTGGTATTTAAGAAATTTTTAAATTCAGAATAAGCCATCTTGAAATAGGTATTGGTACCTAGCAATTCAGGAGCTCAGCTGTTGCTCTTGAAGTCAGGCTTATCCTATTCAAAAAGGGAAACTGCTGTAACATTTGAATCTGTTACTTCAAGAGATCACAATCTTACGGTAATGAGACAATTTGGTAAATAATGTCTTTCTTCTGTTTTTGAAAAATTGCCTTCCACAAGGAGTATGCTATGACCTCAGTATATCAGAGACAGTGGAGTAATAATTCAAGGAGGCATTCTGTTCATGACTGGGTGGCTCATCCTGAGTCATTAAGAGTGATACCCTGAGAAATTCTTTAAAAATATTACCAATCATATTGATGTTCATATATATTATTTAGTCATTTACTGAGTGCTATTTAAGCCCCAGAAAGAATATAGGAGAGTTATTTGATCCAGTCATGGGAAGAAGGTGACTTGAATAATCTAGGACTACTTTAAAGAACAAATGTATTTAATCAGGGCTGCACTGTAATTCTACAATTTGCACTGAATATGAAACAGCTCACAGCTATACTGCTTAAGGGTCAGGCCAGTGAATGAACTATGCTTGGTCACAATTCCTGACCTCATAGTTTTGGGGACTCAACCCCTCTTAAAAGATATTTATTCCTCACTGCCTCTTTTTAGCAAACAAGTTCATCTGTTCTTTTCCAATAGCTAAATGGTGGAAATATAAGGAGGAGAATATAAAAAGTTAGCAAAGGAATTTGTCTGGCTGATGCTCTCAGACACTGAAGCCTGAGCAAACTCACAGCCAGAATAGTTGCATAGTTATAGGGTAAACAGATTTTATATTGTTGGCAAAACTGGTTCTTGAGTGATGCATTCCCTAATGGTTTTCCCCACAGGAAAAGAACAAGTGAATTTGTGTGTAGTGGTGGTGGTGATGATAAAATGTATGTGTGTGGTGAGGTGTAGCTCTTTCTCATGCTTCTCTAGTTTCATAGGTGTGTTTCTTCTTGACCCAGATGGGTACTAATTTTTTTCCTTGCCTTTGAAGTAATTTCATTTCCAAGCTAGTGGGTGACAGATTTTGGGGGGGATTTACCAGACCTTCTACCTTCTCTGCCAGAATTGTTCCTTTCTGAGGAGACAGGATGGCATTGTATAAGGGAAGTTATAATTTTGTTCTCTGTTTTAAGGGGCCAAATGAATGGAATCATGAATGATCTGAAGGCCAAGCATATATTATGTAGACATGCAAGGATATGCCCACCACTTCTCCAGTTCAATCAATGTCCTCCTGACATAGCATCTGACTGGGCACATCTACATGAGATGCTACATTGCTGTAGTGACGCACTATGGTTATGTAGCTTATCTCTATGGTGATGTAGCATTGGCGGGCACTAACTGTGATGCTGCCTCTATTACGTAGTAGCTCATTGCTACTGCACAGTAGGGTTGGAAACGACACATGCACCTCCTGGACTGTGCAGTACCGGGAGGTACTGCGCAGTCATTTAGTACTTGCTTTAGCACTACTTTGCAGTGGGGTGCACGTGTAGATGCACTCACTGTGGTCTGGAGCTGCTGCTGGCTTGGTATGCAGCAGGTCAGAGGTCAAAGATCTAACTCAAAAATAAAAGTTTCCTTTTAGAGGAAGAGTTACGTAGAAATCAGAGGATTATATAATTAGTGGATTCAAATGCTTTATTTCTGTAGATTATGTAGACAACGTAAATAAATCCAAGTTCATTACTATTTAGAAATCTATGTAAATTTCCTGTTACTGTGCACAGAAAATAGCTAAGGAACATTTTATTCTCTGGTAAGAAAAGGGCACATAATAAGTATTCCTTGTTAACTGGGGGATCGTTTTGCAGGGTTTCCCTAGAAGCAAAAGAAACAAATGTGGTTGCTGTCTGGTGCATGTAGCTCTAATACACCTTTTTGTATGGTCACTTGTTTTGATTGAGGAAGGATAGCTGGAGCTGAGAGGGCATAATGAATATTATTATAGACATGGTTTTAAACAAGCACAAAAGAACCAAAAATAAAGTCCTTATATATGCCCTTAGTACGTGAGGTCTGCCTATTACTTTTACCACAGCTGAGTGAGCATACATGAGAGCCATTTATGATGTGTACTGCTGTGTGTCTGCTCTGATTGTCGACTTTGATGATGGGTTAATTGGATGGTGTCAAGGAAGGCAATCCTGGTCACATAAAAAGCCTGATGAGATGAGGATTGTAGTCAGTGCTTCATTACTAGGAATCTTCCTTTAAAAACAAAATCAGAAAGTCTTCATTTTAAGTGTATTTTAAGTAATTCTTCAGAAATTCAATGGCAAACAAGGAGAAACAATTTAATGCATGACAATTTAAGGTAAGGAGCCCTTATGCTAATCTAGCTTCCCTTAACCCCATGATAGGATTTCAGTCCTGATGCTTTCATAATTGTATCTATCAGAACAGCAGGTCAGTCAATTGGTCACGTATCTGCACAACTTCATTGCTCGTCTACAGTTAACCTTTTGTCACGCCTACCGTATAAATCACACTCTATACTCACGATACAACATCTGTGAAGAAAAAACACTCACACACTGTAGGTGTCTCAGTTGATGCTACTGTTACCACTAGATCTGATGTGTTATTTCAAATCCTTTACAAAGATTTGTGTGGAAGAATAAGGCTGCTAACAATATAATACCAGAACGCAGAGCAGTGTGGCACCTTATAAACTAAATCAGAGAGGCATGAACTTTGGGAAGCTGCAGCCTACTTCTTCAGATGAATTTGCAAACAGTAGGGTTACTAAATATAAAAGAATGAAATAAATAAAAAGGATAGGAAAAGGGGGAAGGAGAGAGAGAGGGGCAGGGGATGAGATGAAGATAGCAAAGACGATAAACAAAGCAGCTGACTTACTGAGGAACATAGGGGTTATAAAAGCTAGTCCAGGTAAGAGGACAGGAATCCAGAGTCTCTGTTGAGACCATATTTAATACAAACTAGTCTATTTATGATTTCTTGTTCTGCAGTTTTGCATTCAAGTTAGTTTTTAAAGTTCCGTTATTTAAAAGAACAGCTACTCTGAAGTCAGTGACGAAATGTCCAGGGTGGTTAAAGTTTGCGGCCACAGGCTCTTGTGTCTTTCTGAAACTGATATCAAATCAGTGTCTATTCATTCTTTCATGCAGCAATTGCCCTGTTTGTCTGAAGTAGACAGCAGCCTTATAAGCAGGTAATGGCAGAGATGACATTGGTAAGGGAGCAGGTGAACAACCCCCAGATGTTATAATCTGTGTTGTTTACTTCAGTGATTATGTGGTCTGTGTTGATGAGGGGGTACAGCTGGGATCTGGGTTTGGTGCAAGGGCTTGTGCCTTGATGGTATGGGGGAGTAGGTTAAGTATTATGTGCTGGAGGGTCATTGTTTGAGGTTGGGGGAGCTCCTGTAAGCCAGGACAGGCTTGTCCCTTCAGACTGCCTTGAGATGACTGTAGACAGACAAGGTTCTTTGGGTAAATGTTGAATCTTTTATTAGACCAACTAAATGTTTATTTACTAATTAATTTATAAATTAATTTACCCATTAAACTCATTTATTTATAAATATTAATATTTATTTATTAGATCAACTAAATAGTTGGAAGAATTGTTCTTTGCAAGCTTTTGCCCTTCTTCAGGCATAGGGAAAGTCTTCTTGTGTTTTGTGTTCTTCTGGAAGGAATGGAAGCCGCTATGCAAAATGGAGGTTTGTGAAAATGCAAATGTGTGACAGTGAGGATCAGAGGCAATGGGAGAAAATATGTGGGAGACAGGTAGTTGGGAGGGGGCAGGGAAATGTAGACCTGGTGTTAGAACATAGCTGGTAAAACATAGAGAGGTTAACTATGGATATCAGATGGCAGGTAGGTTATAATGTGCCATAAATCCAATGTCTATATTTAGTCCACAGTTTTTTGTATCCAGTAGATTTATGAAGTGAAGTTTGTAAACTTGTCTATGTGTTTTGTAAATTCTCTTTGAGGATTAGAACTGAGAAATTGGAGAGAAAGTTGTTGTCTTGTGAGAAGTGTGCACCCATAGGTAATTGGGCATTTTTGTCTTTGATAGATTTTTGGTGTGTGTTCATTCTGGTTCCCAGTTGTTGTTTAGTTTCTCCTACATATTTTCTATTGGGGCATTTGGTGCATTGGATGGAAAACCAAAATGTTTTGAAATATCATTGTTGCACATGACATAAATTGTAGTTAATATAGCTTATACCTCTATTTTCTTCTATGTTTTGGGTTCTCTATCTCTCCTGAGGTACTACAGCCACACCACTGTGGCTCATCATGGCATGTGTCATCCAGGTTGGGAAGCACAGTTTGCCAAAGAGATGGGAAGCAAGAGGTAAGCAAATTATAGGGCACCACAGTTGCATAGCTGAATGAAAATGTATGCAGTTTGAGACAATAATTTTCAGTATTTAGTTTTTTGATGAAAAGACAGTCTTGTCTGTAAAAAGAAGATTTTTTTTGTGAAAAATGTTACTGAGTTGAAAACTCAAAATTTCCATTGAAAAATAGTCCAGTAACATTTTACTGTAACATTTTACTGTACTGTAAATAGTCCAGTAACAACTGGTTTTAAATGGGGATGTAAAGAATCTAGTATCTACATAGTTACAAAATAAAGTTTCTTTGGCATTTTTCATAAAATGTATTGTTATTACTTTTCATTATTTCTAATGTACTGGGACCTGCAGTCAGATATCAAGAGCAAACTGTATTAGATCAGCACACATCAATAGAACAAATACAGTTTTTGATTCTGAGACCTATATATTCCACTAAAAAAACAAACCTTTTCAACTATATTAGAAGCTTTTGTCTATGCTGCCATTTTGAGTAAAGATGAGATGTCTTTGGGCCAGAGTTTCAACTCCATACTTTAAGCAGAGTGCTCACATGTCAATAGTGGAAGAGAGGGTCAGTTTTTCAAAACAGGTCAGCACTACATAGGATGAGACACTTATTTTGGTATTTAAAGAAATGTTGTGCTCTTTTGAAAATATGGTTCTAAATGGTCGTTGAGGCACTCAGCATAATTTAGAGCCTTATTTTACAGGAAGCTTTCAAACTGAATGGTGCTTAGACAATCTTATGCTTTCCAGTAAATAGGAAGTGTAGTCTATATTCAATCTCATCTTAACTGGCTAGGTCAATGCCAGTTAAGTTTCTTATCTGCTCTTCTATTTGTATACCTTACTGGATTTGGATTTAAGATAACATATGACTTTTTTTATTTATGTTGCATTCCAGACACCATGCAATTTTTATGTCCTGACTAGTTTTTAAGGACTTGTCACTGAATCAGACTCTTGGAAGCCACAGCTTAGGTAACAACTAACAGGTAGCACAAGTCAAATAAAAATGAACATTAGAGGTGGGGAAAAACATATAGCCTTGTATCCCATGCACCATTATTTTATTATTATTGGTGGGCGCTATACTGAGGAATTAGTTTTAATTTTAGATTTCAGGTCTTCAAATTCAAATAGGTCTTTTTGAAGAAGACAAATTTTCAGTTGAAATGGGGGAGGAAATACCATGAAAATAGATTTATATTGGTATTTTCTTATCATGAATATCCTAAACTTCCAAACATATTATCACCAATCAGGATGCCATGCCCTGCTACCACAAGGCCTGAAAGTCTAAGGGAAAAAATGTTTTTTTACTTCCTTGGAAGCAAATGGACAGAAAGCCAATAGATTGCAATGCTTCAGGCTAGGTATCAGTGAGACAAATCCTAGTGTTTCCACAGAAGTTTCTGAGAAGCATTTATGTCTGCATCTGTATAAGTGGTGCCTACAGAAAGAAATGTTCTGATTTAAGCATAGGTATTTCCTTACTACATCAAAGCATTTATCTACCCAGTCCACTCAGCAGTGGTCAGAACTAGATGCATCAGAGCAAGAATTCTGGAGCAGGCAGATGTGGAAAAAACTGACCCCACATAGGCCTCATCCTGTTCTCAAAGAATAAGACATTGACTTAAACCAGGACACAATGTTTGATAATAATTTTAGTTGTTATTAATTATGACAATATCTAGATATTCTTGACAGCCATATAAATGCCCAATTCCTTTTTGAAACCTATTACATTCTTGCCTTCAACAACTTTCTGGGACAACAACTTCTACAGTCTCATCACATGCCAGGTGAAAACATATTTTCTTTTGTTTTCAATTTCCTATCTTTTAATTAAATTGAGTATCAACTTGTTTTAGTGCTAGCACAGGGAGAATAGAATATATCTGTCTACTTTATATACACTATTTACATGTTTACTGTATCCCCCCTTTTCATCTTCTTTTTAAAGTAAACAATCTCAGATATTATGATTTTTTATCATATGAGCGGTTTTCCCATATCTTTTATTTTTGTTTTATTTTTTTCTTTTCTCATCCGGTTTGGCAATATACTTTATGAGATTGTGACAGAGATGTGTATTCCAGGAGAGTCTGGTTCCACTATCTTCTATAAAGGCATTGGAGTATTTTTTTAGTATTATTACCCATCCAAATCTTTACACATCTCAACATCTTGTTTGTTTGACTTCAGTTGATCCGTGAGCAGAGTTTTTACTGAATTGTCTACAGCAAGACTGTCCAATTTCCCTGTAGCTGTCTACTTTCCTGTAACAGAGGGCTGCATATGGCACTTGTGTACAATCTCTGGACCACACACCATGACAATTTTACACACTGTGGGAGGCACTTTGGGATCTTTCCCTCTCACTCATGGGCATTTCCAGATGAGCCCCCACATGCCTCTTGCTGTGTCTCAAAGAAGTTTGAGATGCGGCAAGAGGCACACTAGGAACAAAAAAACATTCCCTGTGCTGCATATTTGCAGCACGGGCTCAAAATTTGATACCTGGATATCCAGGTATAAAAAAAAAAAACCAGAAAAAAATGGGGCAACCAGAGGCTCGGGTCCTCCAAAGAGACACTCTGATAGCCAGCCAGAGCATCTCTATGTCTAGACCCAGGCTCCATTCCAGGTAAGTAGGAGCTGGGGACATTGGGATGGGGGTGTGGGAGATGTGAGGGGGGCAGCTTGGGAGGGGTGGGTCCCCCACATGCCCTCCTGTATGCCCACCCACATGGCCCACAGCTCACCCACAGCAGCAGTGGCCATCAGGGTACTTGGAGCCTCTTGGCACAGTCCCACATGCTGCATGGGGTAGCATGGCTTCGCCCCAGCCACCTGGCACCCAGTGCTACCTGTGCCATATTGGGTGGGCCTGGCCCAGCTTGGCATAGTGCAATGCACCTTCAGGCAGCTCTGGGCCACCCAGGGTGTCATTCAGGGTCCCACACCACTCACAGGGACTGCCTGTCATGCCAGCCAAGGTCCTGTGTGCCTGTCAAGCTGAGCCAGGTCCTATGGAAACCGGCTCTGCCCAATGGTGTACGGGGCCTGTGCATACAGGACCCGGCCCAGTGATAGGTGGTGCCTGTGAGTGGTGCAGGGCCCTAGGTGACAGCCTTAGTGACCTAGAACTGCCTGAAGGCACATGGTGCTATCCTGAGCCGGGCCAGGCCTGTGTGATATGGCACAGGCAGTGTTGGGTACCTGGTGTCTGGGTCTGAGCCACGCTGCCCTGTGCCATGCAGGGGGGCTGTGACAGGAGGTCCTGAGCACCCTGATGGCAGGTGCTGCTGCAGGTGAGCTGTGGGCCATGCGGGAGGCGGGCTGTGGGCCATGACGGGCCATCCGGGGGGGCATGTGGGCCATGCCTGGGGGCATGTGAGCCATGCAGGGGTGCATGTGGGCCCTGTGGGGGGCATATATGGGCTCTGTGGGGGGGCAGTCTGCGTGCTGTGTGGAGGGGGCTGTGCCCTGTGGGGTTGCAGGGGACCCACTGTTTCTGAGCAGTCCCCCCCACAGTCCCACCACAATCCCTCCACAATCCCCACAGACCTACCCACACACCCCATACTGCCCCACATCCCTCCATAGCCACCCACACACCTACATCCCTCCACACCCTTTCCCACCTGCCTCCTGCAAACCCCACATCCCCCCATTCCACACCCATCACACACCCAGATGCCAGACAGGATGAGACCTGCTGGCAGGAGCTGTGGCTGCAGGGGCAGCTCTCCCCACATCCTAGTTAGTGAAAGAGTCAGGGGGAGTTCTAACTCTTCTATGATAAGAAAACTGAAAGGAAACATCAAAACATGTAGATATTTAGAAATTATTTCATTATGATGATAGAGACACTGGTAGGCTTCCAAATTGCTTCAAAATTGTAAATATATCAATAAAGCATTGCCTGACTGATCTCTCTCTCTCTCCTTCCCTCTCTCTCTCTATATATATTTATAGTGGTCTTTTGTTTTCCTTGTGGAAGAACATGGATTTTGGGGTATTTTCAAGAGTGAATTTGGGATTTTTTTTAAAATCAGAGATTTTGTAGTTTTTAAATAGAGAACACCAGAATTTCTGCTAGTGAGGCAAGTGGTAGAACACAGGTAGAGGGCCTGCTCAGGACTGGCACCTGGGACCCAGCTGGAGGTGACTGACCTCCTGGCCCCAAGTGGCCAGGAGGACATGCTTTGAGAGTTCAAAGCAGGGAACCACACTAAGAACATATTTTGGGTGATACCTCTCCAGATGGTAGGGTGGCAGCACACATGGTAGTAGTGCCACACAAAGGCCAGCTGTGCAGCCACAGCCCACTGGCCCAGAGGTACAGATGCCACTACTGTGGCCATGAAGTCCCCATCTGGATCTGGCAGGTGCGCAGCCTTGGCACCACATGCTGCCACACGTGCCAGCAGGTCATAGCCAGGCAGAAGCCCCCACTGCCAGACTGCCGCAGTGGGTAGAGGGTGCAGGGAACTCTCAGGGCTGCTTCAGTAATCCAGCTGGCACAAGGGGTAGTGTCCCCAGATACCATTTGGTTGGGCCTTAGAAGCTCCTATTTGTCCATTCTTTTGCCATGAGCCCTAAGGCTCACCTGGCTAACTAGTATCCCCTACTGTATGGGGGCTAATGGATGAATGAAACAACTAAATTCTTCAGACAACAAAAGCAAAAACAGGACAGGAGTGATGTGAAGGTCAAAGGGTCAAAATGTTAAAATGAGTGCTCCCGAGGGGGACACCGAGAAGAGCCCCCTGGGCCATGTCCACTGGTCCTCAGAGGCATCCAAGGAGCCAGTGGATGCTGCCCAGTGGGGCTTTGCTTGGAGGTGGGTGGGCCAGTGAGAGGAAAGTGGCCCCACAGTCCCTGGGCACCTTCCCAGCCAGAGCTTCCTTTCTGGTCATGTACAGGGCCCACTTGGCCAAAGGCAAATTGACCAGGAGGTCTTGGGATATGGTGGGGCCATAGATGGGCTGTCCAAAAATAAAAAGCTACGGGGTAAAGTTCATCCAGAACCTCAAAAGGAGGTTCTGAAGGTGGAGGTGAAGGGGCTGCAGCCTGGTGCACTCAAGCGTCATGTGTGCCAGGGTCTCCCTCTGCCCAGAGAAGAGGCAGGAGACCAGGGTGTTCATAAAGCTGACCATATGCATGCCCATGGTGATGGTTCTATGGAGGAGCCACCAGCTGAGGTCCCCAGTGGCTCGTGGGATGAGGGTGAAGTACAGGCTCAGCCACTGGGGTGCTCCAGCTATGCCTTTACCAAGCAGGTCCTGCCACTTGGTTTCTGGGAAGGGCATGAGGGTGGCATGGTGGAACATTCAGTGCATGAGCATGTAGAGGTAGCAGTGATGTATGGTGGAGTAGCAGATCAGTTTGATGTCCTCCAGCCAGCTTAGGTGGTGGAGTGGGGAGCGCCACAAGGCCAGGTTAGGTGTTGGCCCTATGACGAACTCCAGCAGGATGGAGGACATGCAGGGACCACTGTTGGGAAGGACCTGGTTGACAAAGGCAAGGGCATCAGGAGGTAAGGCAGATGTCACCTCCTGGACTAGGTGGCAGGTTGCGCGTGTCATGGGTGCATTGGGCCAGTGCAGTGGGGTCCACCCATGCCAGCCTATTGTAGTCCAGAAGAGAGGCTTAAAAAACAGGTCATCTCCCTGGGCAAGTGTTGCAGGGGACGTGAAGGTGGAGACAAGCCTCCAGGCCTGGAGGAGGTCCTGGTAAAACTCTGGCACCCCTCACAGATCCTGCAGGGAAATGCCTCACAGGCCAAAGAGCTGCCAGTTGTACCAGAGCCCCAAGAAGTGGCAGTGGAAGGCACACCCCGGGTAGCCCCAAGCTATGCAGCTACCAACACCATATAGCAGTTGTTGCAGGGCATGAAGGTGAAAGGTCAGGACCTGGTTATGCAGGCCAACCAGGTCCTGGCCACCCCTCCACAGTGATCCAATGTCATCCTGGCCAGACAAACTCAAGCGCCTGTCTCTGGAGCCCAGCTAGGGCCTCAGGGGGAGGGGTGCCAGGACTGGCAGTGTGCGGAAATGGTGCTGGAGCATGGACAGGACCAGCTGGTTCAATATCAGCGCCCTCTCACACAAGGAGAGACACTACAGCAGTTCTGCCCAGAGCCACTCCACTACCCTTGTCTCCAGCTGGTGCTAGTTCTCTGGTGGGGACGGTTCCATGGGGGACAGGTAGACCCCCAGATAGAGCAGTAAGCCCTTGAAGCTCCTGTCTATTTGTATTTTTCATTGGACGTAGGCCTTAAGGCCCACCCAGTTTACTAATAGTTCCCACTGTGTGGGCCCAAAGAGTGAAAGATACAACTAATATTTTTTTTCTGGGACAACTAAGGGAAAAAACAGCATAGGAGTGATGTGGGGGTCAAAATGTGAAAATATGGGCTCTGGAGGTGGACACTGTGCAGAACCCTCAAGGCCGCACCCTCCTGTGCTCCAAGGCATCCAGTGAGATGGTGGATGCTGCTCAGTGATGCTCTGTCCAGAAATGTGCATGGATGAGTGACAGGAAAGTGGCTCCACAGTCCCCAGGCACCTTCCCAGCCAGAGCCTCATTCCTGGTCATGTACAGGATCTACCTGGCCAGGGCCAGGATGAGGTTGACCAGGAGGTCCTGGGACTTGGTGGGGCTGTGGATGAGGTGCCCAAAAATAAAAAGTTGGGGAGTGAAGTTCATCCAGAACCTCAGGAGGAGGTTCTGGAGGTGGAAGTGGAGAGGCTGCAACCTGGTGCACTCGAGCATCATGTGCAAGGGTCTCCCTCTGCCTGCAGAAGGGGCAGGAGACAGGGAAGTTGGTAAAGCTGACCACATACATGCCCATGGTGATGGCTCCATGGAGGAACCACCAGCTGAGGTCCCCAGTGGCTCATGGGATGATGGTGGAATATACGCTCAGCCACTGGGGTGCCCCAGCTATGCCCTTGCCGAGCAGGTCCCGCCACTTGGTGTATGGGTGGGATATGAGAGCAGCATGATGGATCATGCAGAGGCAGCAGTGATGTATGGTGGAGTAGCGGACTAGTTTGATGTCCTCCAGCTAGTTTAGGTCTTGGAGCAGGGAGCACTATGAGGCGCTGGCCCCACAACAAACTCCGCTGGGGGAGCACATGGTGGAGAGGGGGCTGCCACCATGCAGGACATGATCAACAAGGGCAAGGGTGTTGGGGGGTAGGGGAGATTTCACATCCTGGACCAGAACGCAGGTTGCACGTGTCGTGGGTAGACCCATGTGCTGGACCAGTGCAGTGGGGTCCACTCACTCCTGCCTGATGTAGTCCAGGAGGTCTCTGATATGGGTGACACCAGCCAGGATCAACCTCTGTTGCAACTGGGGTGCCTTTGCTGTTGGCACCTCCAGCTGGGGGTTCCAGAGGAGGGGCTCAATGAGCAGGTCAGCACCCTAGGTGAGTGTTGCAGGGGACCTGGAGGTGGAGACCAAACTTCAGGCCCAGAGGAGGTCCTGGTAGAACTTTGGCAGCCCTTGCAGATCCTGCAGAGAGAAGCCCTGCAGGCTGAGGAGCTGCCAGTTGTATTGGAGCCCCTGGAAGTGGCAGAGGAAGGTAAGGCCCAGGTGGCCCCGTGCTGCATGTCCACCGACACTGTATAGCAGTCATTGCAGGGCCTGAAGGCAGAACATCAGGACCTGGTTGTGGAGGCAAACCAGGCCCTGGCTAGCCTCCTGCAAGGGGAGGTTCCACAGTGACCGAGTGCCGTCCTGGCCAGAAAAACTCCAACACCCATCTCTGGAACACTGCCAGGACCTCAGGGGGCACAGACAGGGCGTATAAGCAGTGCCAGAGCATGGACAAGACCAGTTTGGCACCAGCACTCTCCCATGCAGGAAGAAACACTGCAGGAGCCCTGTCCGTGCCTGAAGCCACTCTACCACCCTTGCCTCCAGCTGGTGCTAGTGTTCTGGCAGGGAGGGGTCCATGGGGGACAGGTAGACCCCCAAGTACAGCAGCAAGCCCGTGCTCCAGCAGATCCCATGGAGTATGGGTGGGAGTGATCCTGCCTGCCACCTGTCACCTACTGCCAAGCCAAAGATCTTGACCCAGTTGACCTGAGCAGAGAAGGCCACTGAGTACAATGCCTGGCAGGCCTCCATGTGTGTCAGGTCACCTGAGGCCTTGACTGCAAGGAATACATAATCAGCATACGCTAACAGGACCAGCTGCACCACCGGCTCCTGGAGCGTGAGCCCTGCCACATGCCTCTGCAGGAGAATGAGAAATGACTCCAGGACCAATGTGTACAGCTGGCCTGACAGTGGGCAGCCTTGACGCACCCCTCTCCTGAACTGGATGGGCTCTGTCAGGGTCCAGTTGAGCTTGACTAAACACTCTGCAGAGGTGTACAGCACCTGGAGAGCCTGCATAAAGCAAGGCCCAAAGGCCCGGAGCATGCCTGTGAGGTACCCGTGATCCACTCTGTCAAATGTCTTCTCCTGGTTCAGGTGTTATACACATAGACTTTATGCCTCTTGCTTTCAATCTTATATATTTTCTTAAGTTTTGTATTACCTTAAGAAACTCCATTTTGTATTGCTTTGTAGCATCGCATAAGTGTTTGACCTTTATATGCTGTATGTGTGAGAGAATGGGTGAGGATGTCTGTGAAAAAGGAAAATATCAAGTGGCAACTGGCTGAAGAATACAGACAGATAAAAGACCAAAACAAGAAGTTCCACCCCAGAACATCAAGAGAACAATGGCAATCGACCTTCAAGGAAGAACACAGTGATAACACAGCAAAAGCCCAGAGGACTGGGTGAATTGACAAGGCTATAAAAGGTGGGGTGAGACATATTGATTCTGGGTCTTGTTCTGCATGTCATCCTGGAGCATTGGTTTGTCTGATGAGATGGACCAGCAGGAGCCTGGCTCCCTACTCATGATCAACTTGGATAGCCACCAAGTTGATTAAAGTATTGATAAGACTGGTAATGTATATAAGCGCAAAACAGAAATTGGGGTATGAATGTGCTCTGTGTGTGTGTGTGTATTAAGTGCTTAATCAATAAACATGGCATCTTGGTTTATCCTCCCTTATAAGGTCTTGCTCATGCTTTGAGCAATTGGCAATTTGTGTAACACAGGGGTAGGAGGGCAAAAGACAGGTCCTCCCAGTGAGCTAACTCCAGGAGGTCCCGAACCAGATACAGGTCGTCAAAGATGGAACATCCAGGCACCATGCACGTCTGGTTGGGACGGATCATGTCCTTCATCACGGACCACAGACACAGCGAGATGGCCTTCGCTGCCACCTTGTAGTCTGTGCAGAGGAGGGACACGGGACACCAGTTCCTTAGGTCGTGGGGATCTCCCTTCTTGGACAGGAGGTCAGCACGGCCCTCTGGCATGACAGGGGGAGTTCCCCACTTCCCTCGGATTTGGCTCAGATGGCAGCAAAGTCTGGGCCGAGGGCATCCCAGAAGGCCTGGTAGAGCTCTGCAGTCAGTCCCTTGATGCCCAGTGCCTTGTTGCCAGGCAGCAGAAGGAAGGCAGCCAAAAACTCAGCCAGTCCCAGTCACCCATGCTAATCTGAGGGAGTCCCTCCCACAGGGTCTGACAGGTTTCAGCATCAGTCATATCTAGGCAGAAGAGCTCTTTGTAGAAGGCCCATGCATGATGGCACATCTCATTTAGATCAGTGAGGGGGTGCTATCACCCACCAGAAGGCAGGTAATGTACTTCTTGGCCCTCTGACTCATCTCCAGGGCATTAAAGCAGCAGGAGCCATGGTCCATCTCCTGAAGGAGCTGGACGTGTGAGTGAACAAATGCACCATGGGCATGGTGGTCATCCAGAGCACAAAGCTCTTCCCACCTCTCCTGACACTTTGCAGAGGGATGGGTTGGTTGGGTTGCTGGCCAGGTGCCTCTCCAGCTCAAGCACCTCCCACTCAAGCTGCTCCTTGACTGCCTCCCTCTGCTGGGTGTGCCCCTGAGTGTAGCTGCAGCAAAAATGTCAGATGCACACTTTCCCCACATCCCACCATCTCTGAGCCAAGATGAAAGCTGCCCATTGCTCTCTCCAGGCCAGCCAGAACTCCCAGAAGGCCTCCCTGAACTCCACATCCTCCAGCAGACTGGCACTGAACTGCCAGTAGGCCAACCCCAGACGCTCAGACTCTATCACAGCCTGGGCCCAGAAAAGGTGATAATTACTGAAAGGGGCCATCTGGATGCTAGAGGGGTGGGCATGGGCAAAGTGCGACAGAAACCAGTCCAACCGGGAGTGGCATGCCTGCTCCTCCCCACCCCCGCATAGGTCCAGTGGCTAGGGGTTATTAAGGCACTCTGACCTGCCTTTCATGGGGGAGGTTAGGGCTCCTGTTATTTGAGTGGGTCTGCCATGCCACCTGCAGTTCCACCAGGCCATCCTTCCCCTCCGCAGCATTGATGATGCATAGGGGGTGCCCGTGCACCCCCTGAGATTGGCCATGCACCCCCCTTGGATTGGCTGCTGCCAGCAGTGCCTGAAGGCACTGCCAGTTGCCACTCGGCGTTCACCAGCCCCCTCCCCTACTGCCAACACTGCTACAGCCACCTGCGGGTGGTCCCTGCTCGGCCTGCCCTTGCTGCCGACACCACCATGACGGACTGTGGATGATCCCTGCTTGCTGCTGCCACCCACTGCCTATGGCCGGTCACCATGCCCCCCCAGCCTTGGGAAGCACAAGGTGTTCATGCCCAGCAGGGTGCAGTTTTAGGTCAGGCCCAGGACCAGAAGCCTCTGAGCCATCACTTCACCTCCTGCCCTTACCTCCAAGGTGTTCCATGCTACCAGGGAGCCAGATGGTGCTTTTCCCTCAGCTGCAAACAGCTAACTGTGCTGTCTCTGCCTGGTTGCCCTTTGTTTGAAAATGGCTGCCTTAACCATGCACCAATTGACTGCGTGCTCCAGCCCATAAAGTGGCAAGCACCCAAAGGTGCGCTGCCACACTATGAAACCAAAATGTTTCATAGAAATACAAAGCTTGAACCTGACCACTTTGATAGAAACCAGGAAACCTGGACAGAATCTCCAGGATACCTACTTTCCTCAGCACCTGGCCTGATCAGCTCTCCAGTTTTCTTGAATTCACCCCTAGTAGATTCCTCAGGTTGTTTGATTCCTCAGATACTCAGTTCTCTTTGCTGTTTGGAGAGCTGAACCAATAGCTTGGTAGGCTGCCTAATTGGTTAGTGGGGAGATGGACGGGGTGGCCAGCTTCTAGGCTCCTTGGTTGGCCATCAGTCTAAACATTCTGTGATGGGTGAGCTGTGCAGAAATCCATTTAAGGAGCTGAAATGATAGCCAGCTGCCAGGACACTGTCTGGAATTTTTTAATGTTGCATTTTGCAGGAATTTTCCAACTTTCCATTATTGTATTGTATTATGACATTACATTATATTACTTTCAGTACAGAAGCTGTTGTTCCTGAGAAGCTATACCTCAATAACTTTGTATCATCTGAAAATGTTGCTACTTCTCAACTTTTTCTTCCTTTCCAGTTCATTAAAAATTACATTAAATTAAGCTAGTATGGAACTTGGAATCCCCTGATGTTGCGATGCAAATTCACCATTTAATCCTATTCTTTGCTTCCTCTCTCCCATACAGTTTTTGATCCTAGATACTACTTTGTATCTCATTGTGTGACAAACTGCTTTTCAGTAGCATTTTGTGTTTGATCTTTTGAAACCCTAAGAAAATTAGGCCAGTTGGTCCTCCTTTCTCCATTACTTTAACATTTAAAGAATTCTTGAACATTCCTAGGAGACCATTTTCATTTGCAGAATCCATATTGCCTAGAAACTATTAGATTGTGATCTTCCAAATGATTTGTCGTTCTATTTTTAATCATCTGTTTAACCAATTTATCAGGATCAAATGTAAGTCTCACAAGTCTATAACTCTGTCTTTTTAAAATAAGTGCACAACATTTGTTCTCTATCTCACTTGGTATCTCTGATTAAAGGTAATGCTCACTAGGTTGAAAAGGCTGCTTTAAGCCTGTATAGGCTGACATTGAGGCTGTATCTTGCAGGTGTAACATGTCAAAAATAAAAGCCTTTTCATAGATAAAAATCTATGGGTGAAGCTCTTTAGCTTTTTGAGGGATAGGGAAGGATAAAGGGAGGTCCTTTTTAGAGAGGACACTTTTCAGTGATGTTTGTGGGACTTCTGGGAATAACAGATTGAATCCTAAGGGTTTATGCTTAAAAGTTTATCCTAAGGGTGTTGTGGGTACATCTAAAAGTACATAGATTAGCTAATCCTTGTGGGATTTTGATGCTTATTTCTCTAAAACTCTTGTATTTTAGAGGTGACCCAGCAATTTATTTCTATATATTTTTCAAATGGGTCTGCTGATTTGTACAGGCGCATACATTTTTTTTCTATTGAAATGTTGGGGACTTTTATTGAAAATACTTTTTATTCTCAGAAGCAGGACATGAAATATTATTTTTACTTAACCAAATTTTCTTTGAGTCTTTCCCTTTTGCTTTGATTGCATACCATCATGTTGAACTGTTCAGTGTGATACTTCTATACGATCAGCAAAAGACAATATATAAACAGGAAGCCTGTTGAACATGTTTAATTGGGGTGCATTTCAAGCAGTTTCATACTACGTAAGTAATGTGTGAACTAGCCATTTTTAATCAGGTCCTTTGTGACTAATTTGAAAACTATAAACTTTACCTAGACTAAGATGACCATAATTAACACCATTGTTGAATTTTCCACAATTGGTTTTCTATGATTTTTTATCTAACCCCCCCCCCGACAAGAACACAGTATCTACTATATTTCATATTACCTTGAGAATCAAGCCTAACAGATAAATGTCAAATTGTTGTATGATTAGGACTTATTATCCCCCAACCACCACACATTTTTAATTGGTTTGATGTTTTGGAGATAAGTGCCTAGGGTTACATGAAACACAAAATATAACACAACATAATGCAATTTCATAAAGGATCTTTTTGTAATTGCTTATTACACATGGCTGTGCATGATAGATAGGAACAATAGAAGAATAAATGAAAAATATTTAAGACAAATACCAGCAAAATGATAATTTTTTTTCTTGCAATATGTACAGATCTGAACACTGAGGAAGCATCACTCTCAGATCTCTCTGAGAATGGAGTAGAATCTGTGGGGTGTAGCTGATAAAGACCTACCTTCCAAAATTTAAGATCAATAGTTAGAATTTCAGGAAAGGAAGCAGCAGAATCAAAGCAAGAACTGGTATATATGGAATAAGATGCTCATTAGAGAGCTTGGAGCAAAGCCATTATGTGACAAAGCAATATCTTAAAATTGACCATGTGCTTTAATCTGAGCCAGCAAAAAGAGCCCAATAAGTATTACGTGTTCCATTCAATTCATATTCACAAATTTACAAGTGTCTTTGGTTTAAATTCCAAGGGATTAGGGTAAAATTATGAGAAACTAGGCTGAACTAATATTTAATTATATACAGTCTAAATCATTAAGGTCTTTTTTTTCATAGTTGCTTTCCTAAACATGATTATTAAATTTATCAAAATTTCCAAAAGTGCTCTTTTAAATAGAACCTTTAATACTTGTGTGTGGACTTATCTGCCCACAAGAGCTCTCTACTTTGCAAAAAGTACCAGGAAACCTGTTGATAGATTGTGGAACTAGCTTAATAGAATCCCTTTCTCCTCCCAAACTACTCAATGTAAATAAAATATGCCTTGTACCTGAGGTCTCATTATTTGTTTCTCCAATAGCCAACAGGGTTTTCTAGTATGCAGAGTGTAGATGGTTCCCATAAGATCTCTGTGCAGCTCGGTTGTTCCCTATGCAAAAGGCTGACTGCCTCCCCACTTCCTGGGTGCATGCACATGAGATGTTTACTATGGTGTTGATTAATTAGCTCTGCAGTAAAGCATCATCATCTACACATGCAGCACTATTAGGAAGGAGTAAACTAAATAACTCCTCTGTAGGATAGTACTGCCAGACAAAAGTACTATCCTATGGCAGTATTATTTACTTTGCCACAATACACATGTAGATACTGATGGGGCAGGCTGGGGTATGAGGGTGCTTCAGTGTGGGGGCTGGCTGCCAGCTAGTCCCCCACAGAAGCACCTTTATGCTCCAGTCAGCATCTCCAGAACACATTGTGCCAAGTTGGAGCAGCCCCAGGCTGGCAGG